TAACAATCTGGCTAATAATTCAAGTTTAAATGCTGAGATTCAAAAAATAAAAGGATATACAGTTCTAAATGTAATAAATTAATATAAAGACATATTTATTAATAGCATTGTTCATTCCTCATCCTTCTCTGTGGAATGTATTTGTTCTCTACATTTTAGTTTGGGGGTCTTGACAAAGGGGTAGAATTGAGATCCAGTAGGTTCTTAAACTGCTGAATAACGCACCTCACTAGGTATTATAACAAAAGAGAATTGGTTTCTTACATCAGTCTTCAGATAAATTTAATGACAGAGGGCTTTTATTTTCTGCCATACACATAGTGCATGTGCATTTTATAGAAGAAAGTATAGTGATTTACATTATTGTTAGTGAAAAGTACCAAATTGAAGGTGGGATATGATGTAGTCATAATCTGAAATACTATCGTATGGGTTCTCTAAAGACTCTACACTAAAATTTAATTAGTCACTTTACAAAAAGCTGTTAAATTTTTAAAAAAGCAGTTATAAACACAATAAAAGTACTGAGATGTCAATCATGATACCTATTCTTAGATCTAGGACAGAATACAGTAAAATGGTGAAATGAGTTTGTTTCATGAGGTCATAAGCATAAAAGAATATCTGACAAACAAAGTCACAGACACAGAGGTAATTTGAGGTCAAAGAATAATTTCTAGTTCTATGCAACATCTCTCATTCTCATTCCAGGCTTCTGAGAAGTAAAGATTCGGATTAATTTGATGTGCAAAAGACAAAAGAGAGAGGGAGAGACAAATAATAAAGGGAACTCCTTCTTGGTAGTATTAATAACATTTAAAATTATATCTTAAATAAACAGGTAAGATTATAAAGGCAAAAGCCAAATATTAATAATTATGTAAAGTCTTCTAATTACATTAAAATGTGAACTGAATGTAATGTTCAAGACATGGAGTATTTTTTATTCAATTAAATCTTTAGCAGGGGAAAGAAAAATCTTTTTTTGTTTAATACTTGATCAAAGTATTTAAAACCACATTATGTCCGTTAACACTTTTGCCTAAGGAAAATGACATGGCGTCTTGGGAAATCAAAGATGAAAACAGTTTATGTTTATGAAGGACTTACAGCATAATGGACAGAATAACACATACAAAGATGATACTAGAATAGTAATAGCTACAAGCGAAATAGGTAAAAGGTACAGTGGGAAACATATTTGGATGTGAGGATAGAAGAAATAGAAGAGTTCCAAGCCAATCAGAAAAAATCTTCCCAGTGCAGCCGGAACCTGAGTAGACCGTAAGAATGCATAAGAGTTTGGTGAGTGGATAAGTAGACAGAGAACTGTCTATGCAGAGGGAAGAGAACTTCGATGGCTCACAGACGCTCAAAGACCATAGTATCTTTGAATGTTGGGGCGGGGATCCAGAATGGTGGGAGAGAGTTTGAGCCCATTTGAGATCTCTTCTGATACATCTTTTCTCTTAATCTATAACATTTTTAATTACTAGTTCAGTTTTCCCATAGCATCCCTGTGAACACTTTGCGGCAACTCTCATTATTTTGCTTTATTTTTTTGCCAACTCTCATTAATAAATAAGACACAGAAAAAAACAGAGTTCACAACTGTACAAGTTTATGGTTTTTCAGTTTGAGCACAACTGTGAAAACATCACCCAGATCAAGAACTACAGTACTACTCACCCAGAAGCCCCTTCATGCCACTGTCCAGGCACCAATAATCCCTCACCCCTGCTAACCCCTCCTGCATGTAAGTAAAACCCTGACTTCCAACATCATCAATAGTTTTACCTGTTTTTGAAATTTATTTAAATGAAATACAGTACATATTCTTTCATGCCTACTTTCTTTCCCTCAAGATTATGTTTGTGAAATTCACCTATATCATATATTGCAATAGTTCATTCATGCACATTGTTGTGTAATGTTCCCTTTTATGAATGCATCACCATAAAAGCTTATTTATCCATTGTAGTGTTGACAGACATCTTTGCACTGTTTCAATTTGGGACTATTATAAATACTGGTGCATTTCTGCACATGCCATTTGTAGAACATGTGTACTCAATTCTGCGGGGCTTATACCCAAAATTGGATTTACTGGATCAATAGGTTGTATAAAGTACTTGTACTGATTTATACTCCAACCAGTAGTACATGAGAGTTTCACTTGCTCCATACTCTTACAACCACTTGAAATTTTGATTATCATCTTTATGCTGAGTATGTAGCAGTTTCTCATTGTGGTTTTAATTCACATATTCTTGGTGACTGAGTTGGGAAGATGCTCATATTTTCATATGATTTTTGGCCATTATCCTAATACCAAATGGCCTAAATTCACTCTTTTGCATACTATTGTTAATGAACTTAACAGGGCTTCCAGCCACCATCACTGTCAACTGACAAAGGGAGTGTGGAGGCTAGCAACTGCTGACGAACATTCGAAGCAATTATTGATAGCAGTATGTCTCTAGGAAATAATTTTCTTCTTTCCTCTTGTCTTCTATTCATCTTGATTCTTCTCTTATTCTAATCTATGTGCCCACCCTATCTTTCTTCTTCCCTTCTGTGTTTCCAGTCCAAAAATGTCAATAAACAAAAGCCAATAAAAAGTGTGCAAGTACTGTCTAGAGAGTTCAGTAGATCACTAACAAGTATGTATCTGACACTTAGATTTCTTACTTGAGGGTTGTCTAATTTTTGAGTTTTGTTTGTTAGTTTATTTTTTTTTTTATAAATGAAACAAGTCAGCATGCTTGACTATATATTTGAAAATAAATGGATCATTCACCAAACTGTAATAGGATAAATATAAATATCTCCTTTTTTTTTATAACTTATGAACAATGTTCAATGAGTATTTTAAATAAATATCAGAAGGAAAATGGAAAAAAAAAAACAGATTCTCTTGTAAAAAGAGAACAATAAAAGAAGAATATACACAAGGGTGCTTTATTTCACTTTCCCTAAAGACCAAATACAAGTCACATTCGGCAAAAATAAAGTAGTCATGACCTTTTCCCTCTTCTGCATGATTAATTACTTAATGTCCTATTAATTGGAAGATGTGGCTGAATTTCAAACACTTTCATTTTCGGTGCATATCATCCTGTACTGTAACCACCGATTAAGCTGTTCATCAAAGGTGAGCCAACAAGGTCATCTGAGCAGTATCTCTTCAGCTATTCATTATCCATCTTCAATGATAATTAACAATGGTAACATTTCCATAAATCAACATCTTTCTGATTATTCTCTGATGATAAACAGTCAAAATGTGTGCATCTCAGCCCACCCCTTTTAATTTTATATTAAAAAAAATTCTAAATATACCACAGAGAAAGCTCAAGTGAAATGTTACAGAAGTTTCTTTAATTAAAATGTACGAAGAAAATAAGGCTATGTATCTTTCAAAGAAAAACATAAACCTACATACAAAACTAAAGTAGCCTGCTGACCACATAGGGGTCACACATAAGAAGCAAAGGGTTTCAGCCACCTACTACCAATTTCTTCCTCTGGCAAGAAAATTATGGCTCAGGTCAGCTTCAGAGATAACCATTTATTTGCCTACTCAGCCATGGAAGGTGACAATTTAAACAGAAAGCAGATTTAATTCACCTTACTCTCAATACACGCATTACAGTGTGGACCAATAAAACAACTTTTCAGTGGATATAATTACTATATTCCAAACCATAATGTGGAAATGTAATTTTTAGGTTTGGTTCGGTTTACTTTGTATACTTGCTGTGTGTTGTTGTTTATTCTTGATGTATTTAACTTTTTGGCTTTTTAAATCATATTGGTTAGTAAATGCAGAAATGCTATTGGTAAAATATGCTTCTTTGGTTCACTTGTATTGACATTTTCATATGCAATATCTATGTCTAAAACGGTCATATCTAAAATTCACTCACTATAGGAAGGTCTTTCTAAACTTGTAGAAAATTATTTATAAAGTATTTTTAAAATAACATAATAAGGGTACTGAAAATCTGTGTTAAAACTTAAGGTATTAGTAATAGATAATCGGTATCAATTACATATGATTATATCTTACTACACAGCATATTAATATATTACATTTTTAAACATTAGATTGTATGCTACTATATACACATGATTACATAAAATATATATTTATAAATTGTACTTATTTCTAAATATTGGAAGTAAAATAGTTCATGCTTTTTACAATTTTATTTTATTATTCCTGTTTACATTTTCAATTTTTACAATTTAATAAGTTACTGCTAAACATATATACACAGAGCTTGGAATTAGTCCCAAGTTAATATGTAGAATTAAAGGCACATATTCTAGTCTGGTAGTACTAATAAATAATAGTACTATAAAATGATATGTACATATTATACCCTATGCTAATGTGTTTTTCACAAGTAAGAGAAAACACAACTCAAACTGGCTTAACCAGTAAGAAGATGTATTATTTCACAAAACCAGAAATCAAGGGACATATTTTTGTCTCCTGGCTGCCTCTCCCCAGAGCCACTGCCATGCTCAAGAGCAGAGTGACAATGAGATATGTTTTCTCCCCATCATGGAAAAGAAATCCTTCCTTTCAGTCTGATTGGACTAAACCTATATAATTCAACTGAGTAGTACGAAGTGAGCTGATCTTCATCTTAGATTATTTTTAAAGTATTTTGTTTGTTCTCCTTTTATAGGTCCCCCCCTTGATTTTGTTTCCATTCTGCTTCTTTATTAAATTGGAAAAAAAAAACACACAAATACTTCTATTTTCCCGATCAGAGATAATAACAAAGATACAGTGAGCACTCTTGAACACAAGATTATAGAAAGTTATCGAGGAAAAGTCAAAGTCAACAATAAGGCTCCGAGATGTGGTGAAGTAGCCTGACCACAGTAGTTTACTATAACAAATGACTGTGTTACACCCAAAGCAAGAAAATGCTACATATTCCAAAGCCATTCGCCCAACATTGGGAACACAGAATGATTCTCACCTTGAGGCATCTCAGGTGGCAGATAATGAGGTTCTTGGGCACTAACATGTACCCATTCGAAGTCATCATATAGATCCTGGTGGTAATCACAGGCCCCTGGACCATCATCAAAAGTACAGCCACCTGAAAGAAGAAGTGAAAGATTACCATTACATTCTACACAGATTTGCTAAAAATTGAGAATGTGCTGGAGAAGGAAAGATTATATTGAAATATGTAAAATGGCACTCTTAATAATAAATGGTACTCCTGTTTTTGACTATCCTCATTAAATTTTCATATAAAATGAATTTCTATCAGTAGTCTCTGTTTGAATAAGAAATAAGTTTGAGCCTCAGAAGGAAGGCTGAGGTGCAGATTTTGAAGAATAAAAAATAGTAGAGGGGGCGCCTGGGTGGCTCAGTCGGTTAAGCGTCTGACTTCGGCTCAGGTCACGATCTCACAGTTGGTGGGTTCGAGCCCTGCATCGAGCTCTGTGCTGACAGCTTGGAGCCTGGAGCCTGCTTCAGATTCTGTGTCTCCCTCTCTCTCTGCCCCTCCCCAGCTCATGCTCACACTCTGTCTCTGTCAAAAATAAATAAAAAAATTTTTTTTTAAAAATAGTAGAGAATACTTGTAAGTAAAGCTTCCCTGAAATATACAAACCACCTAAAACCTAAATAGATTGTAACAACTTCAGTGAGGAGAAGGAGAGAAAGGGAATGAGTGAAAATTATCTTCTTTCATAATGCAAGTTCAAAAAAGGTGAAGTTAATACTTAAGGCTTACCAAATTCTTTGCTTTAAAAGAACACTTTGAAAGAACATTTGAAATAGCAAATAAAACATACAAAACTTTATGGTGTCTAAAAGTGTTTGGGGTCAGTGATACATTCTTCCATACTTTATCTAGATTACTTTCATAGAACTTAAAAGGGAAAAAACTAAAACATAAACCTGATCAGATTAGTCGATCATCACTGTCACCTCTGCCACTTTATTTAATAACTTTTGTGTGTGTGTGTGTGTGTGTGTGTGTGTGTGTGTGTGTGTGTGTTTAATGGAGGTAGCCTTTCCCCTTTACATCAGTCATTTTCCTGGGTTTATTCTCAGGGGTAATTTTTTGGTATAAGTGGAATGATTACTTACTTCTGCTTCTCAACCTACATATACAGGCACACAAAATTCAACATACTTAGTTTATTCCATTCATGAAAATAAGAACTGGCCTGAATGTCTAATCTTGAAAGAAAATGGATTAGAACTAATGAAAATTCAGCAGTGGGTTTAATGAGAAAAACCAATAACCTATCTCCTTTCAAGTAAGTTATTTGTTTAGTTTCCATGGGGATCTTTGTGAAGAAAATCAGTGAATTCTCTGACCAAACAGCAGACTACAGAGTAGTAAACTTCAGGACTATAAATGCTTCTCTGCAAACAAGGAATTCACTTTTTTTCATCAAAAGTCTGTCAGTGTATATATGAATACAAGTACTTGCCAATGACAGAGACAAGCCTGAATCACCGGCAAAGAAGGCAACATCAGAGATGTTCAGATGACATTATGGCCCTAATAACCTTTTTTCAAAAGCAGAACATGTCTGTGGGCATCATGAATCATTCTTATGACTACATCAATCCTTTAAAATAACCAAACTTCAGCAGCTTGAAAGCTTAATAATGTCTTTTAAATATGCCCAAAATAGCCTCTTTATCCATGCTTTCATGGAAGATGATGTACTTCTTAATTTAAAATTAATCAATGAAGAAAGGTTGCTAGGAAATGCATCTTCACATAGCAAGGGGAAAGTTTTTCTCAAAATATAATTTGCTATCACAAACTCAAAATGACTTGCCGCTTTGGAACACATGCCTTCAGGGCCCCCACTGCCCTTTATAATAGTGTGAATGCCCTCTGTATGTAAATTTAAACTACCAGTGGAACCTACGTTGCCTCATTTGGAAGACAAATGACCTTAATTGCTGCCCTTCATAGCCATTGTTAATTTTAGACTCCAGGATTCTGATTAGCAATAACCACTACAACTATCTGTACAAAAGAACTGGGTCAACCCCTACTATTTGTTGTTGCATATTACTGCCATACCATTCAAGAGCTTTGGAAATAGTTACTGATCCACTTGACTTGATTGATAAGAAAATTCTTAAAAGATGATTTTTTATTTTACAGCTTACAGTAAATTCTAATCTAAGAGGTACCATATATCTACTTACCGCATATAGGACATATCAATAAATTGTTTGTGAAAGATTTTTAAATCTTTTTGTATTTTGTATTTCAAGGGTAAGTACTAATGTAATATATTGAACTAGATGATAAGAAATTTAAAAAAACAAGCAAACAAACAAAAACTGTTCCTAACTTAATGAATGGTATAGTGGCATAGGCAGACATGGAGTGAAGGAAGGGGGATATATATATATAATAAATATATATATTGTAGATATATGTATATATCTACACACACACACACACACACACACACACACACAGTGTGTTTGTTGTCTTATGAGGGATGGTAACAGTATGGTCACATAGAACACAAAGAACACAAGGTCACAAAGAACACAAAAACAAATGAATTGGCTACCTATACCAAGGTTGGTTAGGGAAGGCTTCATGGATCTAGGCCTATAAAGATGAGTAAAGACAATGCTGGGCCAAAATGGAGATGGGACTAAAACTAGAGAAAAAGAAAGAACAAAGGCATGCAATTCTAAAGAAACATGGGATGTTGGGGGATCTCAACTATTCTCAACAATTTCTTTGTTATGAACATGTAGGGGGACAAGGAAGAAACAAACCGTAAGAGAAACTTACATACAGAGAACAAACAGAGGGTTGCTGGAGGGGTGTTAGATGGGGGGATGGGCTAAGTTGGGATGAGCACTGGGTGTTATATGTAAGTAAGGAGTCACTAAATTCTACTCCTGAAACCATTATTACACTATATGTTAACTTTATTTAAAATAAATAAACAAATAAATACTTTTTAAAAATAATGAAACAGGGGCGCCTGGGTGGCGCAGTCGGTTAAGCGTCCGACTTCAGCCAGGTCACGATCTCGCGGTCCGGGAGTTCGAGCCCCGCATCGGGCTCTGTGCTGATGGCTCGGAGCCTGGAGCCTGTTTCCGATTCTGTGTCTCCCTCTCTCTCTGCCCCTCCCCCGTTCATGCTCTGTCTCTCTCTGTCCCAAAAATAAAATAAAAAACGTTGGAAAAAAAAAATTTAAAAATAATGAAACAAATATTAGAAAACTAAATATGAAAGATTTTAGATATAAAATTTCTAGATTTTATTCTGTAGTTGTATTGAAGCCATTAAATGATTTTATTCAGGAGTAAGGCAAAATTCAAGCCATGCTATAAATAACAACAACAATAACAATAGAAATAATAACTCTAGGGGCGCCTGGGTGGCTCAGTTGGTTGAGTGACTGACTTCGGCTCAGGTCATGATCTCATGGTTTGTGAGTTCGAGCCCCGTGTCGGGCTCTGTGCTGACAGCTCAGAGCCTGGAGCCTGCTTCAGATTCTGTGTCTCCCTCTCTCTCTGCCCCTCCCCCACTTATGATCTGTCTCACTCTGTCTCAGAAATAAACATTAAAAAAAAAATAAAAAAAAAAAAGAAATAATAACTCTAGTAGCCATGCAGAGTTTAAAGAGGAATGGAGGAAAAAGGAGGTAGATGTTTGGTTCAGCCTTCCAACAGATAGGACATAATATATCTTGAGGTAATTCCATTACATAACAATCCTGTTTACCATTTAAGGCTCACTAGAAAGTCTCACAAAGTCTTCTAATACATGGTGTTAAATACACATGTTCCTGAGTTTAAGAGATTTTTATACATAGCATTAATACCTACTTAAATGAGAAGTATCTCGGTAAGTTTCTAATTCATAAAAACATAACTCATGAATTTAAAGTTTCTCTGAAACTAGATGGCAGAACAAAAGGAGGAAATCCTTAAGTGATGTTCAAGAACTTTAGTTAGGCAGAGGGAATGAGAAATGAGTAAGGAAACAGCTTATGTTTCAGTTGTTGTATTTGCCACAAGTAACTACAATGAGTATCCGCAAATCATGTCAGAGAAACAGCAGCCACAAGTTTCTTGACCCTTGGAGTAAAACTACTTCTTTAGTGTCATTTCACAGATTGCCAATTCCTCTACAGCCATCAGTTAGCTAAGGGACAGACAGATCTATCACCGCAATGGTCTGCTTCCACGACAGCAACCCACTGATGGGGCTTTGCAAACTGTTCACCTGAAGAGAAAAATCAAGCTCATTTGAATTTGCCTGAATTTCTTTCCATTCCTAAGCTGCTCACTGAAAGAACTGGTACTGAGAAACATCAATATCCCAACCCCAAAACTCTACTGCCCCAACATCCAGTATTTAGATTCTTGAGTGTTTATTTAAATAGATGGTGGCAAACTCTATGAGAGAGCATGGAAATAAGAGACGCTCTCTGTGGAATGCTGAACTCAAATCCTTTCTGACGTCAAACTTTTCCATAAAAGCCACTGTTGGGTTCATTTAAAACAAAGTTAAGGGGTGCCTGGGTGGCTCAGTCGGTTGAGAGTCAGACTTCAGCTCAGGTCATGATCTCATGGTCTCATGGTTTGTGGTTTCGAGCCCCACGTCAGGCTCTGTGCTGACAGCTCAGAGCCTGGAGTCTGCTTCGGATTCTGGGTCTCCGTCTCTCTCTGCTCCTCCCCTGCTCGCTCTCTATCTCTGTCTCTCAAAGATAAATAAAAATGTTAAAAAATATTTTTTAAAAAAGAACAAAGTTAAATAGGTGAAAACTAAAAAGTCAGTAGAGCCCTGGACAGCTCTGAACATTTTGTGAAAGACATTGTTTTATTATTTTTAATTTTATTTAAATCCAAGTTAGTTAACATATAGTGTAATAATGGTTTCAGGAGTAAAATTTAGTGATTTATCACTTACATATAACACCCAGTGCTCATCCCAACAAGTGTCCTCCTTAATACCCATTACTCATTTAGCCCATCCCCCCACCCACCTCCCTTCCAGCAACTCTCAGTTTGTTCTCTGTATTTAAGGGCATTATTTTAAAAGATATTGCACTAGGATCTCCCACATTCTGTCCTCCAGGGCACCCATGCAGTCATAATTTTCTCACTGAGTATAACAGCAAGAAACATAGAGGATTTTCTTTCATGGCTCTTTACTATATATATAAAGAACAAGCTTCATTTAGTTAAAGACACAGAATATTGTTTTTTTTTATTTTCTTAAATAGTTTGGAATATACAAGGTTGTTTTGTTTTGTTTACAGAGAGAGCATGAGCAGGGGTAGGGGCAGAGGGAGAGAGGGAGAGAGGGGGAGAGGGGGAGAGAGAGAGAGAGAGAGAGAGAGAGAGAGAGAGAGAGAGAAGCTTAAGCAGGCTCAAGCTGAGCCCCATACAGGGCTCAATCTCATAATGAGATCATGACCTGAGCTGAAAACAAGAGTTGGATGCTTAACCAACTGAGCCACCCAGGCCCCCCAGAATATATAAGATTTTTAAAAGAGGAAAGTCCTGGACAAAATATGTTGCCAAATATAACATCTTTAGTACAGTTGTTTTATGATCTTCAAAAATGGACAAACTAATCTTTTCCAATTGTGAATTAAGCTGTGTTCACAAATTTGCTCATGTAAGGGATCATCAACTTTGGAACACAAATAAGGATTTGTGTTAAAAACACAAATAAGGATTAATTCATGTTACCTGAGGACACATACAATACTGAATTAAACTCTGAATAGATCATCTCTATCTATGCTAATCAGAAACCATAATACAAGTTAACTGGTATAATCCCCAGAACTCATTACAAAGAAGCCAACATATTTTTACACAAAAAAATTCAAAAGCATAAAAAAGGAACTTATTACTAAATATCTTAAATGTAATGCCATTTATAATCTGAGTCAATAAGCCTATTCCCAGAAAAACAGATTATTAGAAAAAGGGCAAAAATTGATGCTTTTATATAAAGTTCATATTTCCTCTGAAATCTACTGGGATATCTTAATAGGTCTTTTTTTCCTTTCTCTCAACTTTACACTTCTGGGAATTACTAAGGATTGACAATGCCATGATCAATGTTCAGATATCTTACATCTACAAAATAAGCAATGTTTCTTCTCAATTTAAGTACTGAAATTCAAATAAGAAAAAAAAAATCCAAATAGATGCAAAGTACGAATGTCTCTGAGGACATAAGTATGAGTCATGGGTCATAATACATTGCTCTGGTTCAATACTGAAAATGATCTACTGAAGAAAAATTAGAAAATTTATGAATTAGAATTCCTTAAAAGACCATTACTTCAGATAAAAAAAAATCTTTTGTCCTGCTGGTAACTAATTAGTATGTGAAAATATTTGAGCCTAGCTCCTTTATAAAAGAAAAGAACATGAAACACATTTGTGGAAATCCAAACCCATCATTTATTGATAGATACAAATGACTCTTAATGATGAGAGAAGAGCTCATTTCAAACACACCCATAAATTATCTGATTGTTCATCCCTAAAGTTCCATTTCCAGCCAAGAATATATGTTTAATATATATAATCCAACATTATTTAGCTTGTAAGACTTCTATTCAAATTGTCTATGATTCAAAGCAATGCTATACTCCATCTGACGGAGTAATCTTCCTTTAATAAGAGTGACTTAACCAGAATAGAATAATAACCCAAACTCACCCCCCTCCATCTTTCCAGAGGCAATATTAAAATCTCTAAACTTCAACTGATAAAACTTCAGTAATTTCAAGGAACTGGCAAATACCACCACTCACGTGGTAGGAGAGATGATTTCTAGACACGGCAAGAAATAAAGGCTAAGCACATGCACAGCTTTGCTATTTTACTTCTTTGAGCTTCAGTTTCTACCCTAATAAAATCAGAACAATAAGAGCCACAGTACAGTTGTACGAAAATTAATGGCAATGCATAAAAAGCCCCTAGCATGTAGCAAGTTTTCTTCACAGAGCCCTTATTTTCTCATGTCCCATTCTTGACACTTTATTATCTATATATGCCATACAGATGCACACTTATGCACATATCTAAGTGCTAAACCTAAATGAGAAAGGAACTTATAGTTTCCGTGTAATTTACCCAAAAAGTCTAAAGCGTTCCCATAAAAGCAGTATTACCATATTACCATCATCAGATATGCTTACAGTTAGGAAGTACCTTCCTTTAGATCAGAGGTCAGTAAATTCTATCTGTAAAAACAAGTGAATAAATATTTTAGGTTTTGCAGGCTGTACCATTTCTGTCCCAACTATATAACTCTGTCATTGGAGCAAGAAAGCAGCCATGGACAATACCTAACAAATGCATATGGATGTATTCAAATTAAATTTTATTTACAAAAATGGCTATAGCAGACTGGATTTGGGCTGTGGGCCACAGTCACCAATCCCTGGTTTTAGATCACTCCATCCTAAGCACTCTTGAAAATTATAGGCAGTATATAGTCTGATTCAAAGCTTACACCCAAGGATCTTTGATTTCTGCACCACCTCCATATGGCTCAATTTTTTCCCCATATATCAAGATGAGGTCCACAGCCAGGAAACTAAACTGAATGGAGATTGAATAACAGAACTACATCTGAAATCAAATTAGATTATCTGTTGGGGCAGAGATTCCTTTCAGAAAGTTAGAATATGGAAAAGCTGGGGCGCCTGGGTGGCATAGTCGGTTAAGCATCCAACTTTGGTTCAGGTCATGATCTCACGGTTTGTGAGTGCAAGCCCTGAATCAGGCTCTGGGTTTACGGCTCTGTGCTGATGGCTCAGACTCTGGAGCCTGCTTCAGATTCTGTGTCTCCCTTTCTCTCTTTGCCCCTCCCCTGCTCTCTCTCTCTCTCTCTCTCAAAAATAAATAATTATTTAAAAGAAAAAGAATATGAAAAAGCTAAAGACACTTTCAAGGCCTTCTAAGTCTTGTTTCCAAACTTTTAAGACACAAAGGGAAATATATTTTACATTGTGACTCAGTATATACATGCACACATCATGCGAATATTTACATACAGAGTATGTGTAAAAAAACCACATTTTTTCAAACATTTATTATCTTTTTCTATGGATCTCTAATCCAGTGCTCTTTCTAGAAGTGAAATAAAATGAAGAGTAGTTGCATGAATCAGGGAAGTAGCTTTGGGAAAAAAAAGGCTAACAGTCCTTTGTCTCAAATACATGTGAGTAATGTCCACTGTGGGAGGAGACTCAGAAGACAGTTGCAAGCAATCCAAGTTTTCCATACCTAATTTCCAAGTCTCAAAGATAAGCCTCTGTGACATAGGCAGTCCTGACAATATGGATGTGACTTTATCAAACCTCATTATGGAGCTAATGGATGATTACATGCCAAACGGCCATAGATATAATTTCACACATGAAAAGAGGTTTATTTAAATACAAACGGAATATATTAATGAAAGGCACTGCATAGTAGAAAAAAATAAAATTGCCCAGTCACAGAGCAAGAAACTATCAGAGCTAAGATCTGAACCTGGGCACTGTGGGTTCTTTACTCTTAACCCCTACACTAAATGGCTCCTCAAAATCAGGTGAGATTAGATATTTTCAGAATTATCTAATACAGCTCCCTCCCAATGGTCAAATCTTCATGACATTACTCAACAGAGAGCACATTATCTATCCCACCCGTATGATGGCGTGGTAGTACTCCATTGTTAGAGAATAAACTATAGTAAACTTTGAACCACATCACACATCAAAGTCTCTCAGGTTTGAGGTCACAGATAGGAAAGGGTCGCTATTGCACCGACCTGCAAAAGCCTAGCTGATTAACTAGCAACTTTGGCAAAGAACGTATTCAAATAGCGTGATTTAAGGCTGAGAATTTGTATGTTCGTAACACTCCTATCATCTTTGCTTGCTTGACAACCTTTACTTTTCACCTTATCTCCCCCAAAGCATGTAAAAACAAGTAGCATTTCTATCTTTGAAAACATGCAAATAAATTAAAAGCAATTTGTTCTGGCAATGTTTACAGTAGCCTTCACATTAATCTTAGTTTAGAAAACACGGTGTTTTTCCCCAGATCATTAATGTATTTACCCAAGTTTCTTTTCCTATTTTTTATCCTTTTATCTATTCCAGTAAAGCCTCATCTTTTTTGCTTAGTGTTAGATACACAATCTAGACAAACCCACTGAACAAAGTAATGGAGAGTAAATGTACTGAAAAATAAAATTCCCAACTGCAGCCATATTTACATTTCGGTAAAATTGGAAAACCACCCAAGCTCACATTTAAACATTTCTTTGTTTTGTTTCTCATAGAGGGATTCCTGGTGGGCTCCACCTCACCCCTATCAGACACATCCTGGTTTACTTCAGCCATTGCTCCAGACTCAGCTCAAGCATGATGGGTAATAGATCATTTTTCATTTATGAAGGGAGTTCTATGAAATGCAGAAGCCATGTAAAACAGAATTCTGTAACCCAGCCTCCCCAAGGAAGGGTAAAGATCGGCTCTGAGGCTTTGAATTTAAAGATTTACATCAGATTGGCAAAGGAATCTTAAATATACTCAAGCACATTTTTAAGAAGGTCAACAATTCAGTTTCATAAGACTTTCAAATATACTTCAAGGAAATGATAACCAACTAATTCAGGTAAGTAATTAAAATGCATCTCAAAAGTAAAAATTATGTTGCTCATTAATATGAAGCTCCTTTCCTATCAAAATCTTTCTAGATTTGGTGTAATGTATAAGGCATAGAGGCCAGTGTTCAGGTTTTTCAGTTTTAAAACATGTTCTTAAGAGCAACAAGTTATGGTTCTTCCCACCATTATCTTTATTTAGAAAAAGAAATTTGGATATCAGCATTTCAATCAGTCCATAAACTACTGATACTGGAATGTATTAACCGATTTCTCTCCTTCAAAGCATCATTTCTACAGTCAGTTTGGCCTCTCACCAGGACCACAGCAAACAAGCCACTCAAACAACAAACTACAAGTAAATCACTCCATGAATACTGAGTGGTGTCAGAAACCATGTTGTCAGGACTCTCTGCCCCTTCCCTCATAAAGTAAGCATTCTCTGGGCTTCGACCAGAATTGTGATAAGAATGCTACCATAGTCTTTCCCAGCACCAACTTCTGACCAAATCAGCGGCTGCAGCCTGAATCACAATAATTTCCTCTTCTCAAATTTCCTTTCTCAAGAGTGCGCATGGTTACCATTTAGTGGAACCACCACATACAATAACGATTTCTCAGGCAACAAAAAACACTGCTACTCACAGACACTTAAGTGATACGTAAGACACTGGTCATTCTGACCTAATGGCGAGAGTCTTCATTGCGAGAATGTTGTGTGAGGTTTTACACAGGGCCTCACCAAGATTGAGGCCTGCCTGTATCTTTGTTTGCTCATCTCTATACCAACAAAAAGACAACTTGGTTTTGCTCTCCCATCTCTACTTCCACCTACTGCATAGGAATGCTGTGCCAATGAATCTTAAAAATCTCTCCACAAGATCCTACGACATTAAAGCTAAGAGCTGTACACACTCAGGTAGCATTAAGCTAGAGTTCTAGTTGGGAAAACATCTAGGTGAGATCCTTATTTTTGTTTTACACTTCCATGAAATTTTTCAGGTAATATGACCAATAATTTGGAGGATTAAAAAAGGGAAGGTGAGAATACAATAGTATCACATCATCGGTGGGCTTTTGTGAAAAAAGAAAGTAGCTCTGTGGTAATAAATTCGGTTGTATGTCAGAAATTCATGCTACCACTGACTCTACTCCCCAGAACTCCTAAAATGTAAACTACCACAATCCAACTACTCTTACATAATAAAAATATTTTACAGATGTTGACTCTGCCTATATTAGAATTTCAGATGAAATTCAAAAATATTAAAAAGTGCTTCAGTGCAAAAAAAGAGGTCTGGGCCTGGAAGAATAATTTAATAGACATAAGAAGTTAACTTTCTTTCGCTGCAAACTCAACGCAGATCAGGGGCTCCTGGTGCCTGTGACTAGTAAGTATGACATCTACAGACGGGAAATAGCCTTGTCTCGTCAAATTTAGATTGGCGGAAGCATTATATCCATTTATTTAACATTCTTACTTTAATTGTCCCTCTAGTTCTTGCTCTAAAACATAATGACTGACTTTAAATCTATCTAACTGCACAGCTTACTGATAAAGGCAAACACATTTCTTCAGCATGAAACATAAAAACCTGGAAATTTCTAATTTCAAATATGAGGGGGTGAGAAGCTGGCAAATAAGATTTGAATAATAGATTAAAGGCAGTAGCAGTGTGATGAGCATTTAAAGTCTAGAATCTGCTGTTCAGTAGGACAGCTTCCCTGCCTCACTTCTCAGTTCAAATCATAGCTTTTATTTTGGAATTTTCAAATCTCTAAAAATAGATCAAATAAAAGGCATTATTACATCATGGACATCCTAGCAAATAATGAGTACAAACAAATTGCCCTTAATTAATGTTTCAGTAAACTTAAGCCTGTCATGCTCACTATCCAAGTAAAGACGAATTACAACAAAAGTTTGTATTTTTTTTTGTCCACATCATTTGCAAAATGTCAAAGGATTGATAATATGTAGTATTGACAGTACATGGGATAACAAAGGAGGACAAAAGGCACTTTAAGGGGACAATTTGGTTTTATTTATCAAAGTTTTTAATCACTTGCCCTTTAATTCAGCAATTAAATTTACCCTACATAACTGTTCACATATGCGCAGTCTAGAGTCCTACATATACAACCCAGGACTACCAACACCCCCCAAAATGAAAAACACATTACCTATGGGCTTTTCAACGACACCCAAAGACAACAAGACTATCTCCAAGCCCACAGGGCCCTTACAGCAATCGCGCACGCAGATAAAATCACAAACTTTGGACTAATGAACGCTAGTAAGGTATTATCGTAATTAATTCACATGAGGAACCTAAATGCTGAACATTATCAACTGGTGAAGATAAAGGCCAACTTTAACAAGCAATATAGAATTTAGCAATTATTTGGCAAATGTTTAGACAATGAAAATAACCAAAAGACATTATAGAGGTAAGGAAATGTTGAATCAACAGCACAAACGGTAAGAAGAAAGTGTCATAGGAGATTCAAGGATATAAAAGTATCCTTTCCTAGCTACTAGCTCTTTGAACTAGCTATTTAAGCAGATTGGGAAAACAAACACAGGGAAACCACTTATGAGAAGTAACATTTTATGATAAACCATTCAAGATAAGAGTGATTATAGCAATAGCATTGTAAGTCGGCCAAAAATAAAATTATCTAGAAGAATGGCTTTGAGTATAACTTCCTAGTATTTTCCTGACATTTAATAACATAACTTAGCTCCTTTTCACTTATCACTTCAGCAACTTCAGACCTCATCTGAAAGTACAACCACAATGCAAAATAGACTAAGGTATAATAGAGAGCTAAACATGTCAAAAGCATTTCTGATACTTCATCTGCGAAGGACAGGTTTCTAACTGTATCAGAGAATGCATTTATGTACATGTTTCCACGTGAAATGCTTGGACCATGATTGGGAGTATCTAGCTACTACTCATAACTGTATTTAATTCGAGCATTTTCTAATAATCTATTAAATCTAATAAAATAAGTAGAGTAATCTGATAAAATAAAATCTATTCCTGCAAACAGCATTTTCACTTTGTGGAATATAATGCCATCAACTAGAGATATCACATGATAAACTTATTTGAGGAAATAGAAAAGGATCCTCCAACTTCAAGTACCTTCCTAAGTCCTCTTATCACTCAATTTCAATTTTACTTTTAGTCTACAATTGAGATGTTAACCTAACTTTCACTTAGATCAATACAACGCACAAAGGAAATAGGGCTGGAGGAACTAGGGCATGAAAATCATGGTATAAAGCAAGCAATCAGCTGATATTCCTAGTAGTTGCATTTGACTAAGACTCTTTCAGGAGATACTCTATAGAATAGGTAACAACAGGAGAAAGGGCTGTTGGGTTAGATAACTTAGGTGATAGAGACCTGAAGCAATGAAAGCATCCCTTGGGGGAAAGAACAGAAGGAGAGAGGGGGTTGTGCTGAAGACCAAGAGACTGAACAGTCCAGAGGTTGGAAGGGGGGAGGGGAGGGGGAATGAGGCCCAGATGCACGAAATAGTGGATAGTGGAGTTTGTGACCTCCTCAATCTAAATGGCAAAGTCCTAATTTGAGCATAATTGGCAGACCACTCATAATACCATGAATTATGTAAAGTTAAGAATTTCTAGAACTGCCTGTATATACACAGCAGGTTTTCAGATCAGCAGGAGGCATTCAGATTCTTGCTCAACAGGTTTTATCTTACAGCCTGTTGAGGACTACCACATCTAAAAGGACATGTGTGAAGTTAGGAACCCTCTTCCTGCTGTGATCAGGTCAACAAGTAAATATCCCTCCCCAAAATGAGAATCATTCATCCGTTTATGGGATGCCACAGTCCACCTCCACCCTTCCCCTTAATAATCCATGAAAATGAATTGCTGTGTTTCATATCAGGATTTGTTTTTCATGTATTGAGGTATCTTGTAAAACAGACTTTTTGCTGTGGAAATATTAGCAATAACATGGTCATGTTTTCAAGAAAAATTATTTCTACCAAAACATCGAGAAGCATTAAAAGTTAGTGACTGGTCACATGGCTTTGCACCAAGCTGCAGCAATGTCTACAAAATAGTCTTGAACTGAGCTATCTGTGACTTCTTTAAGACCACAAAAGCTCAGTGAGTGAAAGGCTATCAAATCTGACTCAGTGGCATTAATTACACCTCCAAGGGTGAAGCGAGAATTGTATGAGTTGAAGAATAAAATTTTATAGTACTATAAAACACTAGTCTAGAAGTCGCAAGGGAAGGGAACTGCGGGGTAAGTAATTGAAGGCAGGAGAGTTGACTTCCTGCCCAATCACTAACTTGGCTGAGCCCATAGTGGTAAAACTTTCTTCCCAGCCTTAAATTTATAATCACAGTAACAACTACAGCCTCCAAAGAAAAGCAAATGAACACACTCCTCTTCTTAAACATTTAAGATACAAAGTAAATCTCTCCAAATCCTGGGGTGCCAAGCATACCATACCTTTTCCAAATCTCAACTTTACCATAGAGAAACATTAGATCTAAACCAGTCAACATTATTGTATACACTCTACACCAGAACATACAAATATGTGTTTTCAGAGCAAGGAAAAGATTTTTAAATTTTCCACCCCTAAAGTGAAAGCAGTTTTATTTCAATCCTACAATCAAATCTATTCTTTACATCTGAAGCTTCAACTAGATATAAGTAACAGCATTTTACAATATGT